GGCCACTTCTGGCCTATTGTACCAGCCCCAGATGATAGGTGAGGGTGAGGCAGGGGAAACCGAAGTACTCGGAGAAAACCTGCCCCAGGGCCACTTTGTCCACCACAAATCCCACTAGACTAGACCCCGGGATCGAACCCGGGCCGCCGCGGTGGGAAGCCAGGGATTAACCGCTTGAGCTATGGCGCGGTCTCGACAACTTTACTGCCGTCTGTGAGCCGATTGTCTAGATAATGTGGGGCCATCAACATCTCACGGCCCTATGGGCCTCTATGGCCTCTTACAGGGATAGCTTTACCTTACCTTTTATATGATTTTATAGAACTTGTTTTATCCGTTCTCTTGGCAGGACTACTTAGCAATTTACGAATTCCGACAAAAATGCGGCGTACACAAGCTGTTGACATGTCACGTAGCCTCAATATATCAAGATATTTTTCTTCTGCATTTTCTAATTTGTCTTAAAACTGACAAGATCCGGGATGTCTCAGTCGGTATACCGACTAGGCAACGAACTGCGCAACAGGACAGAGTTCGATTCCTGGTAGGGGGAAGAAATATTTATCTTGTCCAACTCTGGGGCATACCTTTCTACATAATATGTACGAGATGCTCTTTCCCGGGGTCGAAGCGGTCGGTGCGTGAAGCTGGTCACTCATCGGTATATAATGTTAAGATTAAGAATACATGAAACTATAGGATCTATCTCCACTACTCCATAGGGTTTCATTGCGTAATGTTTAATTAACCACAAGGAGGACTTTAACTTCATCTGACGTTTGAAATCGTTTGGTGTCAAAATGAAATACACAGTGAGAGGAATTACGTATGTCTTCATCGTTGAGTGCATGTTTCACCTCGGTTTAATGCACTGGAATTGTCTTTAACACTTTAGGTCTCAAGTTTGTTAGGAGAGGTTGGTTTCCGTTACGTACCGTAATTTGATTGGACTAACAGCCGTACCATGCCGCGACCCTCTCTGAGACGAAAAGGGGGAGAAGGGGAAGACCCTCAAGCATTGTGAGCCAGAAGCCATGAACTCATTACAAAACACTGCAGAAGATACATGGGAGACTTGGGATTTCCCTTTATTTTGTTTTACCCTGTATAAAAATATTGGAACGACGTGAGGCATGATTTGTAAGAGGCCGGTAATGAGTGAGCTTAACTGGCTCAGTAGTCACACTGTATCATCCTTTTCAGTAACCATCGCCATTTTATATGGCGCCTAAGTGAGGACAGTACGTAAAATTACTGGGGGGTTGGACTTTTTCTGTCGGCAGGTGTTCTAGAAACTAGAAACCAAAACATTTCGGAAACTGGACCTGTTTCCATCCTCAGGTGAGGGGTTGGGAGACACCTACTGTACTGGGTCCCTTAGAAAGATCTAACCCCAGTCTCTGAATATTATACACCATCGTCTGAGCCCTTTAGAATCTACGAAGACATTACGTTTTTAAACATGACTAATTAACTCCATTGAACAGAGATCTTTTTAGGAATCTCTCTGGTCTAGTAGTCAGAGTTCCTGGCTACTGACTCAGAAGCCCCGGGCTCGATTCCCGGCGTTACCATATTTTCTGAGAAGTAGTGGGTCTGGAACGGGGTCAACTCAGCCTCGTGAGGATAATTAATGAGCTATTTCAAGGAAATAGCGGCTCCGGTTTAGAAAACCGAAATTAACGGCCGTGGGTATCCGTTATGTTGACCACACGACACCCTCTATCCGCAAAATTTGGCACTAACTTCGCCGACTAGCGGCGGTCGCTTGGTCGGTATAGTTCGCTTGCGGACTAGAACCACGGAGTTTGTCTTTTTTTTTCTCATTCCGTCCTGGCAAATACCTCGATTAACCGCTACTGTTCCCTTCGAAATTCTTTCCAACACCTTATTCTTACCATTGGACGCTACGTAATTTAAATTCGGAAGCACCGTAAAATACACCGCAAAATATAGCAAATGCGGTGATCAGTCATAAAATAACTTAACTTATACCTCCATCTAATTGTACATTTATGTGTCCTTCGAATGCGACTGATCACTGTATTTCCTTTCGGAAGTGGAGATATGGCTCCACTCCTTGATGGAGGTGTGTGGTCAGCTTGACGACCCGGTTGCTTTACCTCCTCTAAGAGAGTCTTAGCAACCTAAGCTTCCGAGCCTATAACCTAGTTACCATGCTGGATTACATGGTCGAGGTTCGATTCTTTCTAGGGATAGGGATTTTTCTCTTCTTCTTCCTCTTTACTTCCAGACGAGCTATGAGGCTCAACCTGAGGCTTTCCTACCGGAGTTAAAACGGCCGGGACCATTTGATGTTGACGTTAATGTGTGGAGCCATACCTCCAGTTCCACACAAATCTTCGTGGCGTAGTGTTTAATTACATACACAGATACAGCTTCATAAGTTTATTTTTTACGGTGAGGCGTTGTAAGCCACACGCCCAACCCCCCAAACTTGAGCACCACCCCTTGAAGGCTTTCAGCGACTGCTTTTTGAGTATATCCGCAGCTTCCCTCGATACCTGCAGGGTGTCTCCTCCATCCGCAACCTGAGGACGAGCCATGCCGTGGTGACAAGGGACCCACCTACAGAATTGGCGGCTCCTCAAGAAAGGTTCAGCTCCATGAGTAAGCGCGGGAACAATAAGTTTTTACTTTACCAGAGGCACTTGCATGTTAGTGGAGATGAATGCGTATTTTCTGAATTAGTGACATGATGTTCCTTGGAAGAGGCGCCAGCACACTTGAAGTAAGAAACGATTCGTACTTGGAGAACAAAATTTACTCCGTGTCGTCACTGGTGATTATGAATGCGAACTAACTCATTGCAAATAAATATGGTAAGGAAGCTTGTTTGTTGAGGATTACCTTTAAGATTTACTTCATAATGTTTCTTTAATATGTTTGAAGAGCACTGAATGTTACTGAATAGTATAACAAGTAACTCTGACATCTGAAATGAATTAGTTTCAAGTAATTATATAAAATGTAGGATTAGGAATTTTCGTAATTGTAGACAGAAACGAACGTCATAAAGATATGTATAAATAATAGTACAATACAACATTTTACAAATATAAGCAATTTCAATGCACGAACAGTCACGGCTCCAATTAATCCGGGATATGCTGAGGGAGTTGGTGCTTAGGGAGGCTACATCCGTTGAAGTGTGGAGGAAGCTTATGTAAGGAGAATAAACGGTAATCTGACGGGAGTGAGAATGAAACACACCAGTAACTGGAGAAAGGAAATTTCGTAAATATTAGTCAGAATAAATTAAAAGGCAATCAGCCAAATGTGCCAACTTCTTGTATGACGTTGATGGAAAGGAATATATCGTTAGGTTCACAGTGGTCTGTGCCCCTTTAGTTAAGCAGAAAGTGTATATAAATAAAAAAAAAAAGTATTTACCAAAATTCTAAGAACACATTGTCATTTTTCAACGATTAGCTTATTAGAGCCTACACTTCAACTTCGCGTACAAATTAATTCAGACGTGTTAATAAACGATTAAAAGGAATGGTGATGTGTCAGACCTAGAAGGCTGGAGGTAATTACTTGTAGAGCAGGTTTCTAGGGTACAGAACATGAAAAGGCATACAAACAAAATGTCAACCAAAGCCATCACGTAGTTATACTGAGAGGAAAATGGATGCTTTGGACTATGATCTCCAAAGGCAGCCCGGACTCCGCATGGACTGATTTCACTGGGTAACGGTAATATTTTGGCGCAAGCTGTACAGCAAGGAGAAACAGAACAGCAGTAGCCTACACGAACTTCCGAAGTCGCTTGTTCGCGGGACAATATTCCGCGTATTCTTCCCAGGTGCAGCCCGCCCTGTTGAGGCAGCACTCCTCCGTAATCGAGGGGCTTGGTCCACGCCGTCGCTGCAGCCTGCGGTCCCTCAGGAACACGCGGGCCTCCACCACACTGAGGAACGGGTACTCTGCCAAACATCCAAACAGAAACAAGAGTAAAACGTTCTTTGTGTAAAAGATCTTCGAGGATAAGTCACGCCTTGAGCAGGCATCCTTACGCAACAGAAGTCCTGACAGTGGTCCCTATCGCGTGCCTAAAATATACTCTACTACCTCTCTAACCATGACGTCACCATCTGCGTCACTTCGAGCCCAGTAACCAATTTATAGAACGAAAAGTTGTTCCTGTGCTCAACGAATTAAGCACTACGCTATGAAGGCGTATGGGGGGAGTGAATGAATAGATCCACATTTTCTTGACCTCGGCACTAGCTGCAGGTTAGTGGTCAGCTTCAAGCCCCTGCCGCTTTAACCCCGGGGAAAGAGCCCCCGGTACGCATTGGATAGGAGGTTGGGTGGACACCAGAGCCGGTCTGGTTCGAGTCCCCTACGCTATACCGACTACGCTACCTCAGCTCCTAGTGACAAATTTGTAGCAGATTGAATTGGTTCCAGAGATGATCTGGGTGCGGCGACGAAAAGAATAATTCCTGGTTCTACAGAAATTCGAACTCCAGTCTTACGACAGTGGTCAGATCACTATGCTGACTGGGATATTCCGGCTACCGTGTAGGTACATTCATGCTTGGACCGATTTCGAAATCTTCAAAATCTCCGTCCTCTTGTTACTATTGCCCTGTAGATTTATAATTCTATGCTGTCTTCGGTCACCGAGTTATCCACACTGTCTTTCTTCTTTTCCTGCGTGTAATAATCTGTTTGGCTGTATTAACGACATTAACTTTCTCACATACTTCAGCATTTGTGTTTCTATCGAATAGGGTAGGCCTAAACATTAAGGGCCAGTTATCTACAGAGTATCGTAGTTGGTTGAGGCACTATGCTACAAGCCGGAAGGTCGGGAGTTCGAGTCTCGATGAGGACACTGGCTTTTAAATTGATTTAATCCTTCCAGCTGCACTATGGACCCGGTACGACTTAGCATCTAATAGAAGTGGCAGAAATAAAATGTAAACCTATCCCTGTAACAGGCCGCAAAGGTCCATAGGGTTATGAGACGTTGAGGCTCCCATATTATCTCGAGACAGTCGGCTCACAGATGGCAATGAGGTTGTCAGCCTTACGCCCCGGCCGCAGTTTATCCCCCAGGAAGATTCCTGATACTCATTTCTGTTAGTGGCTGAGCCGACCCCAGGGCCATAGTGGCTGGAACGATTAGGTCAATTGAAAAAATACACCTCATCGGGACTCAAACCTGCGACCTTCCTGCTTGTAGCACAGTGCCTCAACCAACTTCACTACCGTGTGTCATCTAGCAAAAATGAGTACCAGGAATATTTTTGAAGGTAAAGAGAGGCCGGCGCATGTGTATGACCTCACCGCCATCTGTAAACCGATTGTCTAGAAAATGTGGGAACCTTGACGTCTCACAACCCTGCGCGCCTCCACGTCCTGTTACAGGACTAGCTTTACTTTTTTCATGCCTTTCTTTAATGTTACTAATCCTTGTAACTTTATACATTTTTATGTGTATTTTTAGAGTCTTTGTCTTTTGGAATCATTTGTTCTCATGGGCCAGGTTTCATTTTGAAACATAAACTCAGTTTGGGTTCGATATTATGTAGCGTCGGTAGAGTATCTTTCTTTTTATCCTGGGTTTCGAATGTCTGTCCGCACTTCGTTTAATCTGTTACCAAACCAAGTCTCAGTTTAAATTATTGCATGTTTTGCATCCAAGCAATGTTCCCTAATCTGGTCCCCTACAACCATTTAAATTGATTGCCAGTATTCCGTTGTATCTTAATGTCTCTTGTTTTTGATTTGCTACACTCAATAATATGACTCAAAACCTGTAATTTCTGTATGCAATCACTTTCTCTGGGCAAGCAGAGTAATAATGTAATTACTACGACATTTCAAATGTTATGTAATACAAAGTTTAAAAAGAACGGGAAAACATTTTCTACCTACTCTACTTATCTGACTTCGTATTTCCGCTTTCAGAAATTCCCTTTCTTAGCTGCGATTACCACGCCCCTCCCCCCACAGTACCACTGGGTTATTCCCTAGTCTTGATCACTCTCAGTAAAGAGCGGATAATTTTTGTAACTATACTTTGTCTTCCGTACGTGCCAAACCGAATGCCTAGCCAGTAAGGCGCTAGAATTAAAATTAACAGCGACTTAAACATTTGAACTTGACACATACCATAACGGTCATATAAATTTCCCCTCTTGATATACGTCAATATTAAAATCTAAAGGAGATAGGACACAGATGAATGTTATTTTAATTATCTACATATCTGTGTTCTAAATTATAAAATAAACGTTATAGCATAGCACTGACGGGTAAAGTTATCGTCTTCCATTGTTTAACAAGTATTTTATTCAGTGTGTGAGATATGAAGTTCTCACAGCGATGGTATTAAGGTCAATTTTTTCCTCAAATGCGACGCCATATAGTCTGGTAGATGCTTACCGACGTATCGGAAGAATATTCTGCCTCCCTTCTTCTACCCTGAAGATGGAGGCAGTACGTTCCTCCAAGGCATCGCAAATATCCACCAGACTACAAGGCGCTACATCCTAGAAGACATTAAACTTCAAGTATTTCTCCGATTCGCTAGGGGTTGAAGGACTTATGTTTATTTATGTGTTTGGTCTGAAGATGAAGGCAAGTAATGTTCCTCCAAAACGTTTGTACATACATACCGGACAACATGGCGACACAACACAGAATACCACAATACGAATCGTATAAATGTCCACCTCTCCAACATAGGGTGTTTCTAATTCTCTGTTGCTAGTCTAGGGCGCTAAATTTAATTGCAGTTAAGATTACGGCATTGTGGGACGTGAAGCTGTCTAGTGTGTCAGATGGGCACAACGTTACGAAGCAACCTGCTGCCTCTGTCTTCCGGGTAGACAACGAAGGTAGCAGGTTCCTTCAGAAATGGCTACCGGTACTTCTCCATCGAACTACACGATTTCACGTCCCAGAAGACCGTAATACAGTGAACCTCAAATCTCTTTAATTAGATTCTCTCTTGACCTGCTATCGCTAAATCAATGACACTCACTTGGATCATTTTTGTCAAGAAGCAAATCGTGCTGTTGATCTTGGAAGTCATTTCTCCGCGACAGCCGGTAGATGTCCTTCTCGCATGCCCAATACAGATGGCGCAGTAGTGCCTCTTGGCATCTCGCATGACGTTCTTGATGCCACGCATGCAGCCAGTCGTCATCTGATCTGCGTGATCCATTAGGAAGGTCGTGATTAGTAATTATACGAGATAGGATGAGAAATTAACTTTTATTTCTTCGTCCGCCCACTAGGGTTACAGTGCGCTGGCAAAAAACTCTCTCGAAGTATGTACAAGGAAGTGTAGACCAATTTTCCTGGCACATAGCGTCAGGCTACGGGCTGGACATCCGGGGTTCGATTCCCGGCAAGGGGAAGAGACGCTTGTCTTCTCCAGAGCATTCCGATCAGATCTGGGGCCCATCCAGTCTGCTATCTACTGGGCACCGGGGTTTCTTTCCCTGTCAGTAAGTGAAGCTGACCACTCACCTTCATCGAGTGCCGAGGTCAAGAACGGTGGAACTATACCTCCACTGCCACATACGTCCTTCATGGCGTGATGCTTAATTACTTACACGCAGGGGCAACTTTACTTTTGCCTTGGTATGCACAAAGTATTGACATGGCAAAGAAAACGACGTTAGCGTACGCAAATACATCTGAATGCGAAAGTGACGTGTTATTTCCAAAGCCTTATCCTAGAGTTGCTGCTTATTGCTTGCATGAATGGCCTACTCCAGGGGTTCTCAACCTTTACGAGACCGCGGCCCAGTAAGTTATTTTTTTTATAAGACGAGGGCCCAGTCCCAACAAATTTACTCGTAAATGCCTTTCCAGTTTTGTTTAAGTTCATGCATTAAGCTAACGTAATATTAGTAATTAAGTACAGCACAAGCATAAAGAGTATTAGCACACTTATGTATACGGTGTGGTATGCTGAGAAACATACAATTACATTTAAGTTAGTTATCAATCACTGGACTAACGAAATCTTGTAGCATTTTGTAGTTTCCTCAGACCAACATCATTAAATTAATTTGTGCTAATTTTCATTGACATATCCCATTCTGATCACCA